GGCCAGCTTACTTCTCCTGTCCTCTGTAGCCTGTTTTCATAGCTCTGCAGTAAGTTGCCCAGCGTTTATTTGCTTACGTGCTTGTCTCCCCATAGTGCATAAGCACCATGCTTGAGACCTTTGTTTGAAGATATTTAATCCTGCCTATTCGGCTTCCCCTCTCTTAGCTTTTTTATATCAATTTTTTTGGTCTCTTTTTCCTCCTGTCTCTGGCTAGTCTTTCTGAATCTACTTTGCTTGTCCCTTTTCTTATGGTGTTCCCTAGGAGTCTGTCCCGGGCACTCTTCTCTTCTTGTTTGTTACATCTTCCTTAGATGAGCACCTCAGCTCTCGTGGTTCGTGCTGCTGACCCCCACATCTGCCTCTGCCATGTACCTCTTTATCCCGAGCTGCTCCTCTAGAGCTCACAGCACGCCCTACTGGAAGTCTCTGTGAGGCAAAGATAGTGTGACATTGGAGTTCCAGCCAGGGGACACAGGAATATCACATCCTATCCTAATCATCCCTGCCCAAGAGGTCTCCATGAAATGTGGGCACAGAAGAAACAAAACCAGAAAAGATGCATTTTCTCACTGAGGCTGTGGCCTTTCACCCCAATAGAGAGTTCCAGGGAGACAGTTTAGACCACTGGGGAATACAATCTTCTGTTGACCAGGTAGGCCTGAATATCTTGAGCCAAAGCAGTTGTCTTAAGGCCTGTTCTGCTCTTTCCACATTCTTAGACTTGTATCTTGGCTCTTGACAAATCCAGTAGAAGAGGCCACATATACCACCACTAGAAAAAAAGGAGCTAAAGGAGTGTGCAGAGCGAGAAAGGCCTGCTCAGGATCTAGAGGTGGGGAGACTGGGGTTGGGCAGGCTCTCCAGGCCTTCTTGGGCCCAACTGCTAAGAAGAATGAGAGGGCAAGTTTTTCCGGAAGATAGTCTCTAGACCTTTATTGGAAGAGGAGGAGGAGAAGAGAAGGTGAAGGAGGAAGCAGTGGGTTGGCCTGTCCCAAGCTTCTAGTGCTCTGGCCAATGCTCATGACACATGGGAATAAAAGATAGCTGGAGAGAGGTGACTAGGCCACCTCATGCCTACTTTCTGTCAACGTGGAGGACAGAGTCCAAAGGTGCAATGAGGAGAAGAATGCCGGCCACGCTCCCTCCTATTCAGGAGGAAGCTCTGCTCACTAGCCTTACCAGAAAGCCAGTCCACCAGCACAGCTTCTCTCCTCCTTTGGGGGTGGGCAAGGAAATCTTGTACCTAACAGGTCTCTGATCCTCATTATGTCCAAAAGAATTTATCATCTTTCCTCCAAACGTGCTTCTCCTCATATATCCCCATCTTTATTAATGGTGCCCAAGCCAGCAACCTAGGTAACAACGCAGATTCTTCTCCTTCATTGTGTCTAGTCAGTCAGAATCTTGTTGATTCTGATCTTAAGTGGGGTGGGGGCCTCCACTCCCCTCCACCACCACTGCCCTAGTCAGGCTCCCTACACCCTCCCCCTGGATCCCAGGGGCACCTCTAGTCCCAACACAGCCAC